ATTCTCAACACCATAAGGCTCCTTTTAAACTAGAAGTCAGAGCATGTCTCTCCTCTGTGGCTCCCAATATCATGCAAAGTAAAAACAAGGGCCTTTGTAATGGCCTCCAGTGCCTCTCTCTCATCATTCCCTACTGTTGCTAATCTACGCTGGCAAACAGACTTCCTACTGTTCTTTGGACACGGCAGGCACACACCTACCTCAGGACCTTTGCACTTGCTGGTCCCTCTGGAATAGATCACTCTTCCAGGTATCTGCTTGGATCTTTCCTTTCAGAGTCTTCAGTCCTTTACCAAAATATTTCTTGCTTAACACTGCCTGAACTTGCAATATACCCCTCTATGCTCTGCTTCTGTCCATTCCTCTTTTGTGCTCTATGTCTCTCTATGACATATCTGCTGTGCTACATGTTATTTGTTTATTAATGTCTTGTCTCTTACTACTCAATAGAACATGAACTTCATGAGAGCAGAGATTTTTGTCTCTTTCATTATCTGCCATAATTCAGGGCCTAGAATATAGCAGGTGCTCCATAAATGCTTACTGAGTAAAGAAGTGCAGAGGCTGTGTGTGCTCTATTGTTATAAACTAAATGCATCTCCGCTAAGCCCAGCTTTGGTTGGCATCTTGAAGAATAAAACATACATTTCCAGGCTGGGCTCTACAGTTTTTTTTTGTTTTTTTTGTTTTTTAATTTTTTTATTGAATGATAACTATGTACATTAATGCACTTCTGGGCTACAGTGTAGGGTTTTCACATGCAATCTGAAATACTTCCATCAAACTGGTCAACACAGCCTTCATGTCATTTTCTCAGTTATTGCTTTAAAACGTTCACATTCTAGTCTTAGAAAGATTCACCTATACCCCTATAAGGTAGACCTCAGAAGTAATCCCTCCAAACCCCCTCCCTCCACCCATTCCCCCCTCCCTTCTCCCTCCCCCCTTCCCATATTCTTAGGCTATTTGGTTATAGCTTTCATGTGGCTCTACAGTTTTTATTAGTGTTTTCTGGGACCCATCAAACAAAACCCCCATATTTTGAAAAATATAATTCTTTCATAAAACAGAAATACTCAGTTGAATTTATGACAGCTTAAAGAGAAAGATTTTTGATTTCTTTAAAAAAAACAAACAAACAAAAAAAAAAACAGTGGTTGTAGAGTTGTTTCCCACAGATTTGCAATCCAGAAGCCAGACGGGAAGAAAATCAACAATTACACAGATAGCTACAGAAAGATGAGTCCCAATTTAGTTGGGATTGTGAAGGTCTGCACATTTCAGAAGTGTATAAGACGCAGTCTCAATAGAATTTTTTTAAATGCGCTATCTCTTATTCCAGAAATTGAATCCTGAGAAGCAACACTGAGAATAACTTGGCTCTGATACTGTGATTGCTGTAATTGTCTTTCATTCGAACAGTAGGTATCCACCCAATAAGTCTCGATCAAGATCTAGTATCTCCTAATAATTAGGTAAGCTCCTTGGATAGATGGCTCTATGCTGTGCCCATAGTAGGCACTCAACAAATGCTTCTTTTAACATGGAATGATAATATAATGGACTTCCCTCTTACGGTTTTACCTCTTTCTATGCTTTATACATTTGAAAAACAATACACTTGTAAAACTAAAATCTAACATGTGTTACCCTATCAAAAGTTCCTGCAGTATTTTTCGAAAAGAAAAAAAAGTAATAACAACCAATCCCAAAACACTACAACTTAGAACTGCTTTACACTTAAATAGCAATTTATATCATATAAACACATTCATAATCTTCATTGGTTAAAACAGCTCCGAGGTTCATTCCTGGCTTCTTGGACCAGCTAAGTCTCACAGTCTGTTTTGGTTTTATTTCGGCACAGGTAGGAAAGCAGAATAAAGAGTCTCACAGTAAAATGCTCATAGTAGATACTATGTCCTTGAAGTTTTGGCCATTGTACGCTCCTTCCGATGAAGAAATGATCCGTGTCCCAACTACAGACGCAGCCTCCCAATCAGCAGAATTTTCCAGAAGATATTCATTCATTAATTCAACACATTGTACACCCCCATCTCATGGGTAACAAAAATACAGTAGTGACAAGATACTGTCCCTGTCCTCAAGGGGCTTACAGTGTAGCAAGGCAAGACCTTTGAGGAATGACCAGTGTATTCAAAAGGAAACTCACAGCTTAGGTCTGCCCTGCTCAGGTGACATATTCAGGCAACTAAGATATGTCTCTGGAAGCCAGGGGCCTTTACCCAAGTTTTATCAAGTCGACTATCTGGAAGTCTTAACAATACCTTTCCTGCCTCAGGTTCCCGTGAAAACCTGCTAATGAGAGTGAGCCAGAGCGTTAAGCTCAAACCTCAGCAAGGTCCAGGAGACCGCATTTAGTGACCATGTGCACATCCAGTACAAGCGAGCTTCCTAAGTGAAAAGCTGAGTGTCCCCAAAAGAAAGGGGGGAGGCTTATCTGTAGGACTTTGCTCTCCCTTTCAACACAGGTGGGAAGAACTCTGTTCACACCCAAAGTTGGCACAGCTCGATTACCTTGAGTTCTCCAAGTCACGAATAGCACATACAAAATGCATCAAACTCAAGCCAAGACAATAGAGAGATATGCTGAGAAATTAATACTCCAGCCTTTTTAAATAGCCACCCGATGCCAAGAAGCCGTCACTTTCAGCAAACAACACAATCTGCTAATTATCTGCAGAGCTGCTCTGGTTGGGACTCCCAGATTCGCTGACTTCTGAGCAAGGACTGCTCTGCAACAGAAAGGGTGCAGAAAGAGCCAAAGCCAAGCTAGGGGAACGTGAGAAGCATAGGGGTTTGAGAAAGGATGTGCTCCGAGAAGGATCTGGCCATCTATGAGGACGAACAGGCATGGAACCGCAGAGAGAACCGGCAGATGCCTCTGATGTCACACAACTCAGACACACACACAGACACGCTGATATTCATGTGTGACACCAATTCAAATATCTGGATATTTAATTCATGCCGTGTGCTGAACAGTCATATGCTGGGAAGGCCCGGTAGTTCTTTGGCCTTGCTTGGAATGTAAGGTGTGTCTTTTCTGCAGAAACGTCTGAGTTGCCTAGTCAGCCTCTTTGCTGGTCTTTGTAATTTTTATCAGCTCCCTCAGTAACTGTGACTTGACAATGCCAAGGGAAGCCTTGGTGGAGACGGGTAAGCCAAGGGGAAACAAAAATGGACCTGGTTGTACCTTCTGAAGGTCATTCCTAGTGCTCCAAGGTCACTACCCAGAATGGATCTCAGTATAATTATCACATATTCTTAACTTCTTCTTACTTCCACCCCTCTACATACATTCCAGATGCTTGGCAACATTTAAATATGAGTCGCTCACCCCCACCGGGTGGACAGTAGGGGAGGTGCTCTATTAGCTGATGAAGAGATCTCCCTCCTATTATTACATGTTTTTATCCACATATTATTGTGTGAGGAACCGAGGCAGGTTGGGGAAGGAATCTCACCAAAAGAAAAGCTGCCGAAGGGATCTGTATGTGCAAACTCGTTTTCAAAGGCTCTGCTGGCTCACGCTCCTCCCAGATGGCAGGGCCCCTGGGAAGTCTCCAGGTACCCCAGAGCAATCCCATTCATGGAAAAAGCTTCCAGCTCCTTGGTGACAATAGTTCCTGAGTAGGGTTTTTGTCTGTCTTTTCTTTCCTTTCTCTTTCTTTCTTTGTTTTTTAACATTCCTCTGAATGCAAATCTAGGCAATAAACCACTCACTTGGGATGAGTTTATATGGGACAGGTAAAAGATGATTCAAAAGAGACAAGATTATAAGGGTCAACATCTGCAAAGGGTTTTTATTCCTGGATATGTCTCTCTCTCTCTCTCTCTCTCACACACACACACACACACACTCCTATTTCAGCATTTCCTTGTGTGATATAATTTTAACCGTGCCTAAAATTCCAGAGAAAATGTCTTCTATTATACTAATAGCTCTTGCCACCTTACTATGATTTATTTATCTGACTTTGGCTCTTATCTGGGGTTTTTGAAAGACGTTCCTCCACAGATTTCAACCCACTGTCCCTAACTCTTTAAAAAATAAAAACAGGTTGCCTTTGAAGTCTTTGCTTTTGCTTCACACTAGGGACTAAAAGACCTTAGGTTTCCTTTTTTCTGTTCTGAAAGTAAATCATCTCCATCATGAATGGTTCAATTGATTGTTCTCTATAAAGGGCAATTTTGCCCCCCAGGGGACATTTGGTGATGTCTGGGGACATTTTTGCTTGTCACAGCTGGGGAGCGCTGCTGGTATCTTGCGGGTAGAGGATACTGCTAAACATCTCCCAATACACAAGATATCCCTCACCACAAAGGATGAGCCTGCCAAAAATGTCATCTGTGCTGACTGAGAAACCCTGGACTGTAGTGATACCAGAGCAAACTCCTCAGTCGTGTTCAGACCACCACCTCCTTTCCCTACTTGTTTATAAGCAGTTGGAACGAAAATAATCTGGGCCCTCCCTCAGATACCTACAAGTGAGCAGACGTGGCAACTGAAGCTTTTCCACCAGCCATCCGAGGCAGAGGGAGGAGACGGTATCCCTGAATGAGTGTGAAGACACCCCCCCCCCCCATGATTCATTCTTCTTGTTGATTGACACGGTCCAAGTGATGCGATAATGCAGTGATTACAGCCCACCCTGGATTTTGAAATTCCCCCTCCATTCACTGGATCCTAAAGGGCAGGTTAAAATTCCCCACCTCCTTGCAGTTGATTCCATCCATCTGAAATCCTGGAGTTCAACCTGGCAACTGTGGCCACCTCTCTTAACAAGCTTCTGCGAGGAGGACGCGTCACCTGTTTCCTAAATCATTTTCCATACAAAAACATTTCATGCCCTCCGCTTTTTTTTTTCTTTTTCCTTTGCTCTTAGCAAGAAGTCCAAGACTCCAAACCCTGTTAATCTCGCAGCGGAAAGGAACTTCACAAGAGAGGAGAAAACAAATCACAACCACATACAGCGTCGTATTTCACAGAAAACTGTGTACGTTTGTTCCCCATATAGAACATACTTCAAAGTAACAAAATAATTTTTTATCCACTGTAGTGTTCTTCTTCCCATTAGAAGCAGTTTCTCTTTCCCCCTCATGGTACATAAATATCAGAGAAAAGGAGTCTTCGAAATATTTACGTCCAGGAGTTCTCTGTTTGTTATTTGGTGTTCTCTGTGTGTTGTTTGGGTTTGGTTTGTATTCAAAGGCTTGGCAGCTTCAGTTTTCATTTTCCCTCCATCCCCGAGCATTCTTCCCAAATTTATAGACCAGTCTTCGTCCATCCACACGTTCCAGAATTTCTCTTTTGTAGTAGTATCTGTAACATAAGGACACTGCATAAGGTGGCCAGTCAGACCAAGACTTTGGGGTAAGTAGCTGGTCTTGCGGACTTAGCGTTTGCAAAGATGGGCAACTCCTCACCTCATAGCCCGGCTGAGTTTTTCATAGGTCATGCTGCTGTTGTTTTTCTTTTTTCCCCATAACTGAGCCACAGCCTCTGATTTCAAGAATCTGAAGATACCCTCAGATCGGTCTTCCCACTTTATTAACCCCGGGTTCTTGTCTGGATTCAAGAGGATGTCTCGGATGAACTCCCATAGGTGAGTTCCTCTCGGATCTGACAAAGAGCAGAAAAGGGGGCTTAGTGAGGGCCCAAGGGACAGCAAGGAAAGGGCAGAGGGAACGCTGAGCTGCATCATCTTCCTTCAAGCAGGAGCTGCTCAACTCAGGGGAAGACAGGTCTCAGGATCACCACGCATCGGACAGATAAAAGGCATTTGAGAATGAACTAATACCATGTCTCAGTTGTACACATCAGGAAACAGAGGTGCAGAGATTTTAAGTGACTTGACGGCATCACACAGCTAACTAGAGGCAAAACCAAAACTAAGGAGTACATCTTAGGTCTTCTAAGCCAGGTAGAATTTATTCTCATTTCTATTCACAAATCGCTTGGAATTCATTTCAACTTGTTACTTTCCCAGAGAGCAAGTTTCAGTGACTCTTTTCTAGTATCTGAACTAAGTAAACTGCCTCAATCCAGCAACTGTGTTTCAGCCAAATGCAAATTAATAAGGCTCTAGAATATTAACATTTAGAACACACGGGGCTTATGGAGAGGGGTGGGCACACAGGGATTGGGGAGCTCTATTTGAACTTGAAGTGTAATGAGATTAGCACCCAAATTCAATTTCACCCCCACTGGATTTCTCTTGTTTCCTGCCTTAACCCCAGCGTTCAAGGGGTGGCACTGATTCCATTTTGTGGGAGAATTGGAATAACATATGGTGAAGATATTCCACATCCCTAACACTTCTAGATGGCACCATCTTAACTTCTTCCTATGCTCTTCCCCAGTTCCGTGTCTCTGATACTTCGTGTATGTTCATGAGAGTTTATTACTGGGGGGATCCAACTCCCTAAGAGCAGTGTTGAATCTTATAGAATCCTGAGAGTCAACAGTCATTCCTTGGAACAATAACAACCCCAAGGTAGATAGAATGATAGATGTCAGCTGTTCCTCCCTGCTTCACTCAGCTTCCCACCTTTTTTTTTTTTTTTTCTGAGATAGAGGGAAATTGCTAACTCCGTGCCTGCAAGGAAGTTTTTATTCACTGGGTGTCTCCATTTTAGAATAAATTTGACAGAATGAGGAGGAAATTCCAAGTGAGGCTGGCTACACCTTCAGAAATAGCTGCAGAGGGCAGCTGGTGAGGGACACCCCTGTTTTCTCACTCTAAGTCAGTCCAAGGTGTAGAAATGGAGGCAGCAGGCAGAGGCAAGATTTGCCTAAAACCCAGTAGCCTCCAGTTATGTCCAAGAGAACCGAAAGGACCCAGAGCCAACTTACTGTGCTTTTTGGTGTGGCACTTTGCAGGGTGGTCTTGCTCCTTTTTCATGTCAGGTGACTCTGCTAAGGAGAAAAATGAGACCCATTTATAATTTACCTATTTCCCACTTGCTTTCATGCATTCACTCATTTAACCAATATGAGCACCTACTGTATGCCTGGCACTGTTTGAGTATGTGATAGTGAATGAAGCAAAAAAGATGATAAAGAGTAGACAGAGTATGGAGGTGGGAATAATTCACAATTTACTACACGGTAGTCACAAAAGATCTCTGATAAAGCAGCCTGAAAGACGTGAGGGAGACAGCCTTGCAGACAGCTTGTGTAACAGCCTTCTATGCATGAGGATAGTAAGTGCAAAGGCCCTGAGGTTGATGTGTATGTTTGATATCTGTGTGATTGCGAGCAAGAAGGGCTAAAGTTCTGATCATTTATCCCTTGGGGACTTTTTAAGGACTTCAGTCTGAGAGAGACGGGAAAAAGAGATGGGAAGCCATTAAAAAACTTATGTCACTGGAAGGGTTTCCTTTTTTTTCTTTCATAATATAAAAATGCAAACATTTATAACAAAGAAAGATAGCTTTTAAGCCAGAGGACTTCCTTTTTTGGCATGCAAAATTAAATTTCGATCAGCCTGACAAAGGGACCATTGAGTGGTCTGAGCTCAGCACAGAAGACCACAGTTATATGGACTATGGAAACACAGATTAGTTTAACAAATGACTCATTATGATAACCCTTGCAACTATCACCAAAGAGGAGATGACAGAGGCAAATCTGTAAAATACAAATTCCTCTTTAAAAGAAGACAAATGACTTAGCAGTGTGTGTGTATGTGTGTGTGTGTATGTGTCTCAGAGGGCATTTTGTGTGTTGGGAGGACCAAGGCAGATCTTATCCACAAAATCCTACAACTAAATCCAATCAGTTTTAATACAAAGTAGTCCCCAAACCCAGGCCAGTCCTTTTAAGAAAGTAAAACTGGTCTCTTGGCGAGCATTCCTTGGGGCTCCTAACCCAGGGTTCACTGACCTGTGTGTGGCCTTCAAGGTTATTCTGAACTGACACCATATGCAGAGGAAGAAAGTCCACAGTATTCCTCTGATCGTCACCAGTGATCCATTATCCAAAAACTTTATGAACCACTGGCCTTTAGCTCCTAATTAAACTGGTTAAGAGGAATAGCTACTCTACTGAGTGCTTACTATGGAGGACCTGGGAGACAGAAAGGTCAAATGGCTTGTCTATAGTCACACACACACACACAGAGACTGAAATCAGAGCCAGGATGTGAACACAGTCTAAAGCAACAAGCTTCACCTATAACCACAATGCCATTTCCATCGATAGTGGTCTGCACACAGCCTCCATTGGCACATAACTGATTTCACTCAAATCTGTCCTGCCAAGAGTCAGGTTCACTTCTACTGTATACTGCTTTTGTGAATGGGAGAAAAATAATAATCCCATCCTGAGGATTCTGTGTTTCCCACTGGGCATGCACCCATTCACTTTTCTGATCACCCAGCTAGCCAGGACTTAGTGCTCCCGGCAATTTCTCCAAAACCCAGGTTGGAGGCGGGGGGGGGGGGGTGAGGTTTAACAGGATCTTAGTAGAAGAGAAACCTCTCATTCTGGTGAAGAATTGAGCTCTTGGCATTGTCACCAGGAGGGCCCACACCTGACCTGGGTTTCCCTGAAATCGGGAAGGGCACATACACAGAAAGAGCAAGGAGACTTCACTCTCCCTCCCTGGATGTTGCAGGGCCAGGTTGCAACATCCCATCAGGATGTGACAATATTGCGACAGCTCTGGCACCCACCCCGGTTTCCAAGTGATACATCACTCTGACAGGGCCACGTTGTTCTGCAGACAAAGAGTGGCATTTACCCAGCAGGCCACAAGCAAAGCTCACTTTCAAATGGCATTCAAGAGGGGATCCAGAGCTATTATTTCAGAGCCAAGGCTGAGTTCAGAAAAACCCAAGTGTCTCTTGGTATACTGTCCTCGATCATTGTGGGTCCCAAGCCAATCTAGAATTAATTTCTTTGGAGTTTAGACACCTTTGCCAATAAGATGAAAACCTTGGACTCCCGCCCTGGAAAATGCACATATATGCACGCTCATGAAATTTTTTTAACAATTTCAGGAGTCTGTGGCCCACTTGAGATTCCATAGAGTCTATGTTAAAATCCCCCAGACTAGATAAACTATGAGGAAATCTTCTTCCTGAAAATGTCAGCCATTTACCAAGCTAGACCTCCATCCAGCTTAGGAAAGATTTTTTTTTAAGTTCCCAAATTAAAATCTTTCCATCATTATACGTAAAAATCAGCAGCCAAAGACAAAAGAAATATCTAATTTCTTCTAGCCCCCTCTGCCTGCTGCAGTGTTCAGGGACAAGCTGTGGAATCGCTGACCTGCCTTAGCGCTAAAATCTTTTGATCTATAGCCTCGCTTTAAGAGATGGGCTTCCCTTCCCTTCCTCCCCCAGCCCCAGAATAAAAGTTAGGACCTTTGAAGTTAGCCATGTGGTTGAGTGATTCATTCTTAGAAAATAATGGCTTGCTCTGGGGAAGCTGCCCAGCTGGGCTTTCTCTTGCTCCACTCCCAGGCACTCCAGGCCGAGGCCCGTCCGGTCCAGGCAGAGGCAGCAACAAGCCACAAGTTTATGATGCAAGTGTAAGAACATGATTTCAGCTAAGCTGCTTCGCAAGAAGCGAAGATTTGAATCATTTGCATATGATTCAGCCGTGAGCCATTTCTTTACGGGATATACAAATTTCGGTGTTCTAATAGACTGTGCCACCCTAGCTTTAGGCTCAACAAGTCTGTGGATAAACACATCAAGCCCGAGCTGGCACACCAGGCCGGAGGACTGTCGAGCAAAACAGGACACCGGCAGCGGCCATTTTGTGAAAAGGGCAGACGGCAGAGAAACCCAAACAAAGCCGGCTTCCCCACCTGCCTTTATCACAGAGGGCATCAGTTTACACTGAGCCTCGCCTCAGCCCGGCTTGTCACTTGTATTAAAACATAGAAAGATATTTCACTGCCTTCAGTTTTATGGAAGCTTGACGTATAAAGACTCAGGGGTAAATATAAACACCAGGGACACCAGGGAGGCAGGGTGAAAGGGTCCGATCCCATCTGGTAGGGACCATAAATTATTCTGAAAGGAACTAACCCATTCGAGTTTGTAATTAACTATCCTACCGGAGGATTATTGCTCCCAAAGAGCTCACTAACCCCTAATGCTGAATTGATTCTGTTAGATAATAATTCGGACAGAGGGCCTGGGCTGTTTGTCTCATTGCCAGTCCAGGTTTCAGTTGCAGGACAGGAATGAGGGGCTGGAGGGAATAAGGATCCAGGAGGGTAAAAGAGAACAGACTCCTGAGCCCGTCTTAGGAAGGACTGTGCAGAAACACAACAGGTGGTCTCGGGGGTAGTGAGTTCCCTGCTACTGCAAATGCCAAGGCAGAAACTGGCTCCTAAAACTCTCTCTTGATTCTGAAATTCTAGAAGGTATAAGATACAGAAAAGAGAAGGATGCCTAGGCTGTCAGGGCAGTAGAGTAGTGACGATGACTCTTAGATTTCCCAGGTGCCTGGAGGACCTAATGACCCCTGAGGCTCAGGAAGTGGCAAGTGCAGCTTTATCCTTAACTGGAGTTTCCTGCCATAACTCCAAAACCCAACCAGAAGAACATAGGAGGCAATATCTTTAAGAAGTCTGCAATGAAATGTTAGGGAGACTCGGGTGGTTTCCTCCGCCCCGAAACCCTAGGTCTTGATGAGGCGACAACAGTAGCCACAGAAATCTCACCCTGATCAGTTTGGTTCCCCCAGAGTGGCAAATATACTGCAGAGCCTTTCCAGTGTTTGGTCTGTTTCCTAAATTCAACAAATACTTCGAGTGACGCATATGCTAAGGGCTTTTGCAGGATTTGGGAGCCAAGAGCTGAGTTGGCCTCCATTCTTAACCTCAATTCCAGAAGCATTTACACTGGCTCCCAGCCATCTTATTCAAGGGGCTTGACCCAAACACAACCTCAAACCAAATGTTTTCATTATTTCAGTTCTCAAAAATACACTCAACAAAAGCCAAAAAAAAAAAGAAAGAAAGAAAGAAAGAAAAAAAGTTGGACTCTTTCTTTCACAAAGATTGGATTAAATACCCCACTTCTGAAGTTGCCCCAAGTTCAATTCCTGTCTAACCTCCACTTCACAAACCCAAAGAGATCCTGAAGTTTGCACCTGAGTCAAGACAAAACACAAAACCATCTCTCCAACTATAGAAATTTCCTCACTGCACCTATCTGGGAGGGGAGTGGTAATCTACAGCCTCCTCCCAGGTTCCCAGCACACCAATCCTCTCACTCAGTGTAACCTTGATTAACAGTCACAGAGGGGCCCCAGCTGCATCCAGTCCTAACCAGATGAAACCGATGTTAACATAATTCATAAAGTGCAGGTACCCTGACTGCTTAGACAGCACTGATGAGACATGGCGGTTAGACCTAAAACCTGACAAAACAGTGTGATTTCAAGGCTTCCAGAAAGTTCCAAGGACTTCCCCTTCCAACCCAGAAACCATCCCCACAGGTTCACAGACCTTCTGGATTTCTCCATTAGACAATCTTCTCTAAAGCCAAATCTAGTTGGTTGAATATGGCCTTCTCCCTCATAAACATACTGAAGTGTGAATAATTTTATTAGATACATCCCCAAAGCAAGTTTGTGTCAAAAAGCAAGGGCAGCCTAAACGACTTATGTTGAGTGACTGGTTTCGCCAGAGACAAACCCTTTGGCCAGAGAAATCCATACTGGTCATTTCTGACATATAAATATTGGCTCAAATAAATACCCAACTCCATTATAGTAACACCACCCCGTCCTTAGCCTTTTAATGAGCAAAGCAGAAACATGAGATGTTGGTAAAGCTCATCAATTCCCTGTAAGCACCTGTATTAGGCACACCCAGCCTCAGATGTCAGGACAACTTACCCACAGGAAGGTGGCTGGTGGTTGTCATGGAGATCTGAGCCCTGCAGAAAGTTTTGCTGTCCAACAAATCTGCAGCAATGAAAAGATAAAGGGTATTTAGAGCCCCTTTCCTTATAGTAGAACACTGGGACTGTTGGATAACAGAATAAGAATGCAAAAGGGCCTTAAGTGGTAGGGAGTTAGTTACCTACTGTGCTACCATAGTTGGTGTCGTATAAATAGTTCTCATCTTTCCAGGTGTTCATGATGGAAGGGTCTACAAAAAAATAGAAAAATGGTTACTGATCAGCAGTTATTGTTTCCAGGGGCAAAAGTCCACCATGTCAAACTCACTGCTCATCAAAGAAGTGTGGGGACTGAGGAGTGGTCCCCAGAGAGAAGGGGCATGATTCTGCCTTAGCCACATCGCTTCATAATAAAGTTTTTGTAATCTTTGAAAATGTTTCAATTATTTGTCTAACTAAAACTTAACCAACATCCTGCACAAATCGTGGTCATTTTATATATTTGGTTTAGTTAAAAAATAAGTGGGTAAACACAGACAAATTTTGAAATACACAGTCAGACTTCATAATAATACATCCCATGGTTCTTCCAGTGTCCTGGGGCAAGTGGACTTTGTCAGGGCCCCCTCTATGTATTCCACACTTGCTGCCTTTTTAGGGAAGCAAGAGAAATTGCCACAGGGGGACCCACCAATGCTTTGTTTTCTGGGAGTTTTCCCAGCCTTGCTTGGCTTTGTTTTACATTCTACCACGTGCCCACCAGAACATGTTCACCCTGGGGTGGGAGAGGAGAAACCTTGGAAGGGATAAGTTTATTCACATTTACAACAAATAATAAATCCACATCCTTTCCTATTAGTTTCTTCCTGAGAGAATTAAAGATGTTTCTTTTAGAAAAGATCTAGTCGGACTTTATCACAGTTTCTTTCTTGCTGAAATCCAGGGTCTCCCCTTAAGTTGGGGGACAGCTCTCTCCCTCCTGGGTTTCTCCAATTCGCTTAAGGGGTGACATACAATCCTCGAAACAAAACCAAGGAGAAGGGGAGAAAAGCACGACCAAATCAAGCCAACAACGTTGCCTCGTGGTGGAAAAGAAGAGCTCCCCCCGGGTGCTGGGTAAGCACATCTCACTTCCACTGACGCTTCAGATTTCAGATTCAAAGGAAATTCCCCTCCACCTCCCCAAATGAAGCTCACCTCCTACACAACCCCCAGATCTGGGCTGGCCTCCAACACAAGCATTTTCTTTCTCAGCTAGCCAAGAGCTCTACTAAGATGTCTCACCTTGTCCCCACCAGAAACTTCCTGCTTTCTCCTCGCCACAGACCTAGGCTGCCCTCAGTGCCCCTCCTGCCCAGATTATGAATTTTAGGGCCGGGTGGTAAGCCACTGGCCGAGTTTCATTTTGTTTTTATAGCATAAATGGTATAAAGCCTGACTCACTGGCTAAGTCCTCCTATTTACGACATAGGGATTTAGCTGGTATTTTAACTAATAGCTACGTGTTTGGACACCCTAAGCCCAATCTCTTGGAGTTACACCCTCGCTCCTTGTTGGGTCACCTTGTACACCTGTTGTTGTCTCTGAAAACAAACTGAACCAAAGAGGTTTGGGGGTGTTGGCCCCTCTAGAGCCTCTTCTCTCCTCCTCCCAGGGTGGACCTTCTTCTCCACCCTTCAGCTGAGCTTTTCTGAACTGGCAACACAAGAATGTCTGGATGGTCAAGGAGGAATTATCAAGTTGTTTGGGACCTCTCCAATATCACCCTCGCTCCTCCGGTGGGGCTATCTCCCAGGTCAAGCAAGGGAGGAGCGCCAGCCTCTTGGCCAAGTCCTGGATCTGTCTCTGGGGGATGGGCAGGTCTGTAAAGCCCAGAGCATCCAGGTGGCCCATCCCCTGGTTCTAAAGAGGAGGGCAGGGCTAAGACAGCCTAATTAACATCTTTAGCAGCTACTGCTTTTTTCTTTAATATTGGTAGACCAGCCCCCCTATAAACGAGTAAATAACTGCATGGGCCAATCTCGGCCCCACGTGACTCACAAATCACCCCCAGGTCAAGCTCTGTCCTTGGTGACTGGCACACATCATCAGGGAGGCCTGTGGCACAAGTCTGCCTAGTGTGGACATGGGGAATGACCCAAGAGCAGTGGCTGGTTTTATGACAGTCTGTCAACTTTGGGGGACAATTTTCAGGAGAGAGGTTTGGCACAGAGGAAGGGGAACAAAAATGAACATAGATACTACGGGACTGTAGACTCTGGCCAGAGCCCAGGATAGTATCTTTTATACAAAAACATTCGAGGAAGCAGTTGGGTTCTGCAGTTGCCTTTGGACATCTCTACAGAAGCCCCCAAAACTGCATTAACTACAGTACCAAGTCAGCACCCTCCTCCCACCAGTGAAACACACTCCCATCAAGAGGAGGGGGAAGAACAGACATTGAAACTTCCTCTTCTCTTGCATTTCCAAACTTGGCCAAGTCCAGCCTCCTGACTCTTTGCGGTAGAGAGTCCCACCATAGGTCCCACATTTTCCTATCAACTGGCCTGGAGTCTCAGTGATGCCCTGACAGTGGCAGAAAGAAGCAAAGTATGGGCACAAAGGAGGCTCCCCATCAGTCTAAACCTCAGGAACAGTTGGCAGTCACTGATCCCAAGGGCAAGGAATGAGGGTCATGGTAGGTGGCCCATTGGAGACAGCCAGGAAAGAGGCCTCCTCGGGCTTCCTGACAAAACCTGCTCCCACGTTCTCTCTCGCCCTCTCTCCCAATTGTTCTCCCCAGTGCTGGGCTAGCCAAGTTGGCTCCCTTCGTGCACTACTGCTCACCGGTTTGTTCGGTCTTGACAATGACATTGTGTGTGGACTGGAACAGGTCACTGCTGCACTGGCCTGTGAAGGACAGAGTGTGAAGGTCAGAGAGGGCCCTGATGGAGCCAGAACTTGCTGCTTCAGTAAGGACAGAGCTCGCCTCCCTGAAGAATTTCTGTCCGCCCCCCACTGTCTAATCACCTATGTTCCCATGGGAGGGGGCTGCCTCTCAGCCTCTACACACTCAAGCCTGCAGCCCCTGGCCCCTGAGACAATCAGCGGCCAAGGGCACCAACTTCAGTGCAATTATTTGGCATTGTCTAGGAAGGCATCCAGTATGGTGCAAATAGAACTTCAGAAGTCAGAACTTTTAGAAGACCAGCTTTTCATCTCCTAGCTGTGAAGCACTTCACCTTTCTGGACCTCAGTTTTCTCATCTGTAAATTCAGGGATTAAACTAGATGTAGTCACTAGACTAAGGTGCTTTCCCATTCTGAGATACGATCTGAAATGAAAATGAAAATATAGGGAAAACCATTTTAACTAGCTCATATTTTCTTTGCTCTTAAATTTTATCAAATCCCTCTTGATTAGATGTGATCTATGTGATATATCTGGATAAAATGCAGTGACTCTTTCCTTACGTATGTCTTAGCACACATATGAGCAGGACCCGCCACATATTCTTGTGTTTGCTTTTCAACTCCTCTTCATTGTATCCCCTGTAAAGTACACTCAAGGGCTGTCTGGAAAGTATCCAGCCATTGTCAATACTATTTTTCATAGAATAATGTGGCTGGATACTTTCCGGACAGCCCTCATATATACATACAAATGAATCTAGTATGTTTTTTCTCCCCAGGCAGATTATAAGTATCTAGGAACCTAGCTCATGCCTCTAAGCTCTCTGGATTTCGATCTTTCCATCTGTAAAATGGGTACAATATTTACCATAAGGGCATTAAGTGAATCAATTTGCTTCCAGTGCCTAGTATAAGTCAATACCCCGTAAGCATAAGTGATAAAATATCTACAGAAGGACAAACAACTAACCACAGGTGAGAAACCTGGCTGGCCAGGAGGCACTCGGAGGCAACAGCAGCATGGGGTGAGATCAAACGAGTCAGTCACAGAAGGTCAAATATGGACAGTCAAAGACGGCCATGGCACTTGCCAGGCCTCCCTGCCTCAGGCTTCCATCAGGACAGAGCTTTAAAGGAGTGGATTTAATTGGAGGTAGGGAGGTGAATATTTTTAATTCTTCAAGTGTAAGTGTGCTCTTTCTGAAGAATCCTGGGAGTTATTTATAGAGCCTTGTTTGGTTTGGTTCTAGTAAAAGAAAAATGAGCCACTGCTGTTCTGGGGTGGGTGGGAAGAGGGAGTGCCAGGGAGCTGATGAGGTCATCCAAGTGGCTGCTGCAGCCACCGGCTCTGCAGTCCCACTCAGGGTCTTCTTCAGGTTGATGGCCAACTCTGGTCCACAGCCCTGGGCTCGTGCTTCCCAAACCCCAGTTAACTGCCCAAAAACAGGCTCTAAGATATATTTGCCCTTTCCAATGAGGACAGGACAGCTCACCAGTTTGGGGGGGCACCATATTGCCACTTTCCAAAATGCTCACAGTTTTCAGAGACATAAAATTTTTATAGCCACAGTCAGGAGAACCTTACACCAGTGTCAAAGCTATTCTGTAGGCTGTCCACCCTACAGGGTCTTCCAAGTCATCATGGAATGTGTGCATGTGTGAATAACCCATCACCCACGGGCAGCATCTGGAATGGTGGTCTTTCCCTAGGCTGGGGGAAGGTTGGGGAGAGACTTCTGGGGCATTAGGGCAGCAGCAATTTCAGAAATCACTGCAGAAACTTCCCACAGCACACATGTCCAGACCATTTGTTCTTTTTGAGTCTGCTGAAATATTATGAGCCTTCTCCTCCTCCAAAACACAACTATAAACCAAATTTCATTTATCTTCTCCCCACCCTTGGGCCCCCATTTGAGAACCTAGGTCAACCAGGGTTTCCTTTCTTTTTTCTTGATGCCATGATGATCTTTAATAAGCAAGTGACTAGGAATTAAACTACTGAACCCTGTCTGCAAAGGAAAGAAGACAGAAGATTTTCTAAGATTAGGCAAATAGTCTGTGACTACCCAGCCAGTTCTGGTCTCCTTGAAGATTAATATCGCCATAGAGAATTAAATTACATCAGCCTTTATAGGGGATTAGACACACCTTGTATGCTAGACTTCGATCCCGTCCTCTCATCTCCCTTGTACTTCCCTGTCTTGGGACATGGTAATTTAGAGGGGATGCCCCCCCCCTTTGTCATCCCTGACAAGGAATCCTGACAGCTGCAGAGTCCTGGCTTCTCTTGGGGAGAGAGATAGTCACCGTTCCACTTGAGATGCTGCAAGTTGCTGTAGAGGAGCTGCCCCGCCGTGCCCGCAGCCCGGGTGAACTCCTGCAGACTCATGCTACACAGGTGCTCGCCATTGATGTCGAACTCCTGGAAGGGGATGCAGCTGGCGTCCAGCTGGTTGGTGTCCAGGAGGTGCTGGAGCCACTCCCACACCTGGTACTTGGTCCAGTACTGAGGATGGATTTCATGCCACTGGCCTCCAAAAAACCCGCTGGAAACTGCAAAACAGGAGTGGCCCCATGAGTGACCCCTGATTGTTCCTGGGTATTGTGTGTCATGGGGACACACTGCAGGCTGCCAGGTGTTCCCACGGACAAAATGTAGGCATCCACATGAGGGCTGGAGTGGAAATGTGCTTCTTTTCCCAGCAGTAGCAGAAGGACCAATAATTTAGCCTGTGTGCATCTTCAAGCCCTTCATAGCATGACATTTCCTCCCAGGCACTGGAAGGGGACAAGAGCCCTGAAGTGCTCAGAGCTTATTCCCTATCTCCCCCAAGGTAAGGTCCTAGGGAAACAAAAGCATTGCCATAATGTCAGCAACTAACTTGTGGTCCCCCCCCCCACCAAATGCAGGCTTCCCTCTCTCTCTGCCACCACCCCCCATTTTATCTCTTATCTACACACATACACACCCCAAATTTAGACCATTTTCACCCAAAAATAAGGCCTGAAATTAAGGTTCATTTCTCTATGATCCCTTTGCTTCTCCCCAAAGGGGTCCAGATTATTCATCTAACAGACACTCCCCTGCCCTGGCCTGGTTATGTAGCTACTACCACGTCACCTTCCCACTTGGTGACCTTCAGTAGCTCCCTATTTTCCACTGAAATTAGGCACAAAACTTCCAAGCCAGGGATTGAGGCTCTTCACTATTCTTCAAGTGACCCATGACTTTTGTCTTTTCTAGACTGTCCTTTCAGCTCAGCTCATAATCTCTGTCTCACTCCTACTGAATTCCACCCTCTCTCTCCAACTTCACTGATTCCCTCAACTGACTGTGGGGCTCCCTGTCCTCTGAATCTCTGGGAGACATGCCTGGAGATGTTCTGCTTCGGCTTACAGGTCTCTCGGTCCTGCCTGAATCTCCTTTGTAAATTGTACACTCAAAGTCACCGGCTCTGTCTCGCTCATCTTTGTATCCCCTGTAAAAACCACCTCTGAGACCTTGCCACTTTGTAATGCGATTTGTAGCTACTGAAGAAGAAATAATATAGGAACCTGGAGGAGACGTAAGGTGGGGAAGTGACGTTCATTCATGTCAATAAATATCACCGAGACCATTATGTGCTACCCCTCTGTGTAAGTGACTAGTGCTCACTTAAAGGAACATTCTGTAGTGCTGGGGGGATAGAGAGGAATGAATGTGACAGGGCTCACAGATCTTACAGTTCCCTTGAAAACACAGGTCAAGTGTAGGGGCTGTCTTCCAGGAAAGGTGGGGACGAGGGGCAGATGCTGCTGCCTCCCAGCAAGCTGGAACGGGGAAATCCTACTGCATGTGACACACAGGTGTCCCTACACACTCGGGGATGGGTCAGGAGAGGAAAAGGTAGTATAAGGAAACTGTTCCTAACTTTTCTTCAAGGTCATGCTAGATCAGTACTTCTCAAACTTTAATGTGATTGTGAACCACCAGGGACTACTGTTCAAGTGCAGACTCTGACTCAGTAGGTCCGTGGAGAGGCCTGAGTTTCTGCATTCCTAGCAGGCATCCGCACACTGCTCCTGCTGATCTGTTGAGTGACAAGGTGTTTAGGGCCCAGAAAGCTTTGATTCCTGAAATGCAGGTGGCCTGGCCTTCAACACCCCAGAGGAGAAGGGCAATGTTTCCAACTCAGTCCACTGTTTCTCACCTGTGTAGAATACAGCCACTGCCTCTAGACCTCAGAAGTGCTAAGACCAAGAAGTCAAGTTCATTTAGGGCAGAAAGGTGATCACCATTGGTTATACCTGCCAATGAGGTAGGGGAGTAAGGTTCGCCCCCAAACCCATGAGGTGTACCTCTCTCCCCATACCTCATGAGCAAAGAAAAGCAGCCCTAAACCCTTGCTTGGGCCCTAAAGACGAAGCTGATAGTTGGGGTTGGGGGGGAGGGGCAAAGGTTGGAAAAAATCTAGTCCCAAAGCTGAATTATATAGAAACACAAATACACAAACACACAGAGCTTGGACCAGATGCTACCATTTCTCCCAAGTCTTTGGTGTCTCACTAATACAGCTGTTCAGGATGGGACATATTTTTTGTGGTCCCCCCAAATGTTGGATCTCTTTTTTCCCCAAGACAATTATGTTGCCATGACAGTACAGCTCTGGGTTTAGTTACAAGTGGCAACAACTTTCACTAACTCAACAACAGGTCTAGAATAATCTCTATACGATGTGAGGAAGTTCCTGATATTGCATCCTGTTCACACTTGGGAGAATTTGAGAATTTTGCCTAAAGTTGCTCGAGGAGACTTTTAGCAGGCAGAAAAGGCACCAGCTTCCTCAAGCCTTAGGGGAAACACTGAAAATCCTGAGTTCACATTTTCTGTCATTTAACTGACTTCCTTTCCTCCTTCAGTCTTGTTCAACAGCTGGGCCTTCTTTGGGGCCTCTGGAACTTAATGAGTAAAAGCAGCACCTAAATTCTACTCCCTGCTAGGCACATTTTCCCAGTTTTTTCTGAAGCAAAGAGGAGGAATGCTGCCTTCATCAAGGGTCCAGGGGCCTGGGGTTGCCACAGACTTCTTCCTCTGTTTGGAATCCTCCTTCTGAGTCCCTACAGGGGGTCTGAGGCACACAACAGGAAAGGTAACTGCCCCCAAAAGGAAGCATTGTGGGGGGACAAGAGATGGAATAAGGGAAGGTCTCCTGGTCACACTTCCAAACACGTTTGCCTGGGATTACAAAATAAAAGAGGTGGAACTGTGCGTGGATCAGCGCTTGTTGGAGAGTATAATCCTCCCGTGACCCTCCCGCTCCTGCTCTGACTCTGATCACCACCAGGCATTTCCATGTTGCAAGGCAAGCAAGAGCAGCAGCGTCTCTGGCAGGGGCACTGGCAGGAAGCATGGAGTGGGATTAGGCCCAGAGCGCCAGAGACCCGCCGCCTTTAGAGGCATGGCGGTCTGCCTGCACTGGACGCCTTCACAAGGCCCCTGATTCACCAGCAACTTAATTCAGTTCAGCTTTACAGTAAGCGCCAGGCTTGATTCCCAAACCCTGCATAAGCCCCACTGTCAGATCCCTCCTCTTCTCATCAGCAAGTGGGAGATTAAAGCCCTACAGGAAAACACCTGTTCTCCCAACAAATATCTTCTCCCTTGCAAAGGGAGGCCACTGGAAGATGAAATAGAAAAGTTAGGACCCTATATCCACCTCCTCCATAACCTCCATGCACACACACATTCCTCTCTCTCCTATCCCAGAAAAACATTGTTAAAAGCTACAACAGAGGCTGGTTGTGGTGAATGCTTATAATCCTCGCACTCTGGGAGGCCGAGACAGTAGGCTCCCTTGAGTTCAGGAGTTGAAGACCAGTCTGAGTAAGAGTGAGACATCTGTCTCTACTCAAAATAGAAAAATTAGCTGGGGACTTGTGGCAGGTGCCTGTAGTTCCAGCTGCTCAGGACGCTGAGGCAGTAGGATTACTTGAACCCAGGATGTTGAGGTTGCTATGAGTTAGGCTGGGGCCCTGGCACGCTTCCTAGAGCAACAGAGACTCTGTGTCAAAAACAAAAAGCTTTAACAGGCAACCTTCCCTTTGGCCCTCTCTACTTTCCCCCTCCCCCAACCAACACACCACCAGGCTCCAACCTGGAACCTTGAATTTGGGGAGGAGATGATAAAGTATCTCAAACGGGGTTTTGTCTGGAGCCCTGGGGAGCCAGAGGGAACTCCAGCATTAGGAGTTTTCTCCATTCCCCCTGGTCCCATGTCATCTGCTGAATCAAACCTGTATTTTTCAAATGTTCAGTCAGGAGAGAAATTAAGGCAAAGCAAGTCCCCCACAGCTGGGCAGTGATGCCCACATGCACTTGGCCCCTTACCATTGCACGTGGAGTAGCCATCGGTCCAGGTTGGCTGCTGGTGAAGGAGGTTGTTGCTGGGGTTGATATTCATTACACCACTTCCTTCCAGAATCATGATCTGTAAGGGAATCATGTAGCCCATTTAGTCAGTGCATCTTGGACAGACATCATTCGAGAGTGCAGATTATAGAGTTAGATTTAAGAAGAGAAAAAAATTAAAAGAATGTGTCCTTCTACTCATTGCCTGCCACCCACTGTCACAGCCTTTTCAGTAAAAGCAAAACTCAACAGCAATTAAAAATTTCCAGGTCCAATTTTCATATGTATGAGGCAAGTTTTTACAGCCACCCATTCATAAATGAATAATCTCTGATCAGGAATGAAGCAGGAAGAAAATTCAATACCTGCTCCCAGGGCAAGGCTGGCCAACAGCCAAGTTGCTTTTTTTTTTTTTTTTTTTTTAACAAAAGTGAAAATGCCAAAGAGATTTTGTTTAGAGTGCAATTTCAATCAATGAAACTCTGAGCTGGTGGTGGCACAGCCCCAGCCCCTGCGCACGACTGATTGAAATCACACCTGGGCACCCAGGAACAAGTTCCTTCAGCCCGGGATGGGCTGATCATCAGAACACCTCCGTCCTATTCCAATAGAGCTCCCCAAAGATTTAGCTTTGTGATAACATCGGGAATCAATGGGTTTCTTTGACAGACACTGCCCCTTTCTGGTAAAGAAAATGAAATTTTTCCACTCTGACTAGCTATGACTAGCTTTTCTTCCATTAGCGACCTGGAGAATTCAAAGACTTGGAAGCTGGCCTCAGAGTGGCTTCCCCGGAGGACACGATCATTTTCTCAGGGAAGAGTCCAAGAGACGAGCTTTCTCCTCTGAGCCTATTTGGATATTTTTTTTTTTATAACAATGTAAACATTTTACCTTTAGAAATATTCCTTTCAATAGTTCAGTCTTTGTCGCGTCCCTGCCCCCAAGCTGGGCACCCTCCACATTTCTGACCAGAGCCCTCGCTGTGTGTTCAATCATTCAAAGGAAGAACAGTCTGTTTCTAGAAGGCTATTGGGCAGTGCCCAGGGGCTGTAAAAGTAACTTGCTCTTTATAAAATGCTGGGGCGGGGAAAGGAATTTAGCTTGATAAGAGAAAGTCATGGAAAATTTTCTGCCTGTTGTGTGGAAATCTTGCATTCTCAAGTGTCACCAACGTCCCCAGGATTGAAATTGGCCTCCCAGAGTAGTTCTAGGCCTTGACACTCCTTCCTCAAATTTAGCTGCCACTGTTCTGGTTCTGTGCACAGCATGAGGAAGGGACACAGGGGGTCTGAGAAAGGAATAAAATTGTGTTCCTATATTTATTTATTCAACAAATATTTATCAGCCCCCAAATGGGGCTGGGTGCTATTCTAGGTCCCTGGATAGAGTCGTGATTAAGGGTTGAAATAAGCCAGATAAAAACATATGCGACGATTGTCATCATCACCATCGCTGTTGCTTTGTAAATAACTGGATCTGAATCTAGCTTAAGCAGAAGGTGGAGAGGGGAGGACAGGGTAGGAATAATAGTGAAGAGATCATGGCGGGGAAGATAGCCGAGTTGGACTCATATCCAGAGGAGCTCTGAAGCCAGAAGAGGTGGGGTCGTTTCCATACTGTCCCACTTACTAACTCAGACAAGTTACATAACCTCTCTGAACCCCAATTTCCTGATATGCAAAATGCACCTAAACACACACAGCCTGCACATTGGTTGATGATCAAATGAGTTTCTCTCCCCAGAACACAGCTGCATGTCAGCTGTTACGACCAGGAAACTCTCTACCTCCCATGATCGGGTTCAGGGCCCCAGTCTCCCCATTCAAAAATTTAAAGAAGATGATTACACCGATTCCTAAGTTCCTTTCCAGAAACTTCTTTGATTCTCACCCTGAGAGAAGGAAAACCAACTTGAGTCAAACCTTTTCTTTCTTTTTCTCCGTAACTGGGCATTTTCCCATCCAGCTTTGTAGAGCAATTGCCCTAAAGCTAAGAAATCAGACTGGGGACTTCAAGGCAAAGGAAAACCTCCAAGTACCCAGAGGGGGTGGCTGGGGAAGGGGGGGGGAGGGCCCAGTCTCTTGTTTGCTCAAGGCTGGGCTTGTTCCTTGCCAGCATTTGCTCAACCACAAGCATGGAAAGGTTACTGTTTAACCCTGAGAGGGCTGAAGCTCAGAGCCCCAGTGGATTTGCATGGAGGGATTGGCCCTCCAGGCTAGGGGAGGCCAGGCAAGAAAAAGCTCCCCTAAAATTCTTCCACAAGGACTTGCCTGGAGACTGTTTCAAAGTGGTCATTTCGGTAGGCGAGTCTTGCTTCGGCCAACTCTAACCACTCCCTCAGCTGTGGGTTTTTGTTCACAGCTTCTCAATAAACAGAAAAGCAGGGTGGCGCGGGGCTGGGCACCAGGCTTTGGAGCTGAGGAGAGATGGGATCAGGTCCCACGTCCCCTGCTTCAATAGGGAAGATCCTGAGAAAACTCCTGGTCTGTCCACCAGAAGCTTTCGGACCCTCACTTTCTGCACCTGACAAATGGGCACAGCCTCCAACTCAAAGGGCTGTGAGAATCAAATGAGGTCATGTACACTGAGAACTTAGCAGGTAGCAAAAAAAGAATTCAGTAAATGTCTCAGAACCACAGTGGGCCAGTTCCCCATAGGTACTGAGTGCCCACAAGCCCCTTTCCTTGGAGCAGACGTCTTTCTCACCATGACCTTCTGCAGGCATCCAGAACTACTCCCAACCCCCCAGAGACCTTCAGGACTCCAGGGTCACAGCTGCCTGTCACCTCCACCCCCTCCCCAGAGCTGGCCTGTGTGTGCACGGCTCGGCTTTCTGCTGGCGCCCCCCCTTTCAAGGGAAGGCAGCCAGCATGCCGAGGTGCCCTTTTTTACAGGGCACATTAAATGGTTATCACTCATAAAAGCGCTTGTGTGGCTTATTTGTGAGTCAGAGTTCACTACAGCTTACCTGGCTGTGAGCAAAGGTGTCCAACCCCACAGGGAGCTGCGGAGAGAGCTGGCCCCACCATGGTCACACAAGGCCCTGGGCTAGTTTAGCTGAAAAGCCTTTGGCTAAGTCCTACACCCCCCTGAGGCCCAGTTTTTCAGGTGTCAGATGAGGACATTTATTTGTCCCCAACAATCTCATAGGACTGTTGAGTACTGAGACAGAATTAGATAATGGATAATAAATGTGCCTTGAGAACTGTAAAGAAGAAAAAAAAGTCTTATTATAAATTCACTCACAGCCACATATATGAATATAGACTTTCTATGGCTTATAGCAATTGCTTTCTGGGGTATAAAAATTGTTTCTTTTAATTAAGAAGTAATGAATATGTTCAGTGAATGTTCTCCCAGCTCTTACTTTACCTTCGGTGTAGCTTCATTATTTCCTTTACAAAAAAGTATCAAATATGTGGAGTAATAGAGACGTAGGAATCTGATAGGCCTGGGTTAGAATCCAAGCCCCAAGTTTCGGCTGTGTGACCTTGAGCAGGTTAACCATTCTGAGCCTCAATTTCTTCACTGGCTTAAAAATGGGAGGGTCAGGGAGGGTGGAGGGGGCAATAATGATTTTCTCTAAGCCTAAAGGCTGTTATAAAGGATAAATAATGGGTTGAAAGGTGTCTTGTCCAGCACCTAGCATGCCTGGCTTCAGTAAAAATCAGTTTCCTTTCCTTCCTTTAAACATTAGTTCTCAAGGTGTTCCTATAACACATTTTACTTCTTCCAGGACTAGGTCCTCAATTCAGAGCCTACGTGAGAAAGAGTCCACCCAGCGAGTCCGAAAGAAGCTGGAAAAGGACTTACCTCTCCCCATCTTTATCTGGCCAGGGAGGTGGGAGCAGGGGTGCAATGCGGGCAAGGTGACCCTCAGCCTGCCCGGGTAATGGTTAAAAGCAGAGTTTCTCGACATCCCCACAATGAAATCTGGACAATTCTTTGTGCTACGGGGGCTGCCCTGAGCATTGTAGGAGGCCTACATCCCAGGCCTCTAGATGCCAGTAGCACATCCCCGCTCCATGTCTACCAGGGCAAAATCACCCCGGTTGAAACACAGGGGTGTTAAAAGCAAAGCCTGTAGAGGGAGACAACTTGATCTTTGCTTTTACTGTGATGACAGGCGTAGGCTGTCCCTTAGCCTTTCTGAGATGCCATTTCCTCCCCTGGGAAACAGGCATGCAACCCAGGGGATTGCTGGAGAATCAAACAAACGAGGGGGCCTCAGAAGTGGCAGCACGGTGCCTGGTACACACGGAGTAACTGCCCAGTCAGTGGAAGTCACCCTTGTTTCTTCCCGGGTGGCGTGTATTCTGGGAAGATAGCATAAATTATTACTTGGGCGGTTAAAAACTGCACATATACAAGACCAAGCACTGTGGCTCACGCCTATAACCCTAGCACTTTGGGAGGCAGAGGCAGGAGGATTGCTTGAGTCTAGAAGTTCAAGCCTGAGCAACATAGTGAGACTCCATCTCTACCAAGAATTAAAAAAGTATCCAGGCATGGTGGTAAATGCCTGTGGTCTCAGCTACTTGGGAGGCTGAAACAGGAGGATCATTTGAGCCCAGAAGTTTGAAGTTAAGTGAGCTATGATCATGTCACTGCACTCTCCCTGGGCACCACAGTGAGACCTTTTCTCTCTCAAAATAAAGAATAAAAAAACCCTGCTCATATACAAAGAAAAACCGTAAATTTTATTTCAAACCATAAGAGTGAAGTGAAATGTAGATTACCCAGAGATTGTTTTTTTGTTTTTGTTTTTTGTATATATTCTCTTATCCTCTTCATGGGTAGGAACAACTAGAGAAAACTGTATTTGATTCAGTGAACCCACTTATTGTCCAGACTTTCTCTTAACCCCAAATTTGCCCCTTTGTGCATAAGTCTGTAAGACTAATGCTTGGGGACAGAAGTTTTCTCTGTATTTGAAACTGGGAAACCCTACATGCTACCCAGCAGACTGAAGCACAAATACACAAAGCCAGGCTTCTTGCCAGGACCTGTTAGCCTTAGGTGGCGACTCCCTTACAAATGATGTTCCACTAGTTCCCCTAAAAGTCATGGTCCAAT